AGGTAAGTCAGTCTACCAGAACTACTGGCTATATTTTTCATTATTTTCTCAAATCTCTGGGCCTTATAATTTTGGCTTTACTTCTTAAACACCTACTAGAAACTTCAAACAGCATATCTGGAATTAAAAACTATTAAAATGCATTAACAACATTTTCCTTTACAAATTTCTTAAATTTTATTGCTAAAACAAAAGTTCTGAAACAAGTCTAAAAAGAAGGGTATTATACTGCATACAAACTTTATCTTCATACTGTTTAAAAGAAATCCTTGTAAGAAAACATGACAATTAAGTCACTACCTAAGACAAAAATCATGTTACAAAGTTGAGGTGAGATGGTGTGTATTGCTTTCAATTTGCCAGGGTAATTGGTCTTCATCTTGGAAATCAGGTCAATGCCTAATAGACTGATTAAAATACACTATGCCAATAATCAACCCCATGAACTGGCATTAAAGAAAGATGGAGAAATTTGACGTCAGACATCCTAGGTTTGAGGCCCAGAAATACTACTTGTATACTTCAGAGGACTATAAAGAGGGTGAATCAGATCTGCAAAAAGACAACTTAATAATTATAAATCCTCAAACAAATCAATGTATTATCATCTTTAAAAGAAAAATTCACACTATGAACACAATCCTAGACCAAGTAGTCACTGTCATCACCTTAGCAGATGCTAACATTTATTGAAGATCAGTAACTATTCCAAGAATTTACATGTATTAACCCACTTAATCCTTGATAACAATTCTACCAGGCCAACACTACCACTAAACCCAAGTGATTAAATCAAGCTTAAGAAACATTAAATAACTTGGAACTTGAACTGGATTCATCTGCTCTCACAGACACATCACTCTGGCTCTTGCACTATAAAAAGAATAGTGTACCTGCTTGCAGCTGTAGAATCTTTGATCTTCTTTCCTTCCAAGGAAGCTAAATGTTGTTCCAAAGCATCAAGAAGACTGCTAGGGGCCTGAAATTATACAAATATTAAGACTTTCACAATAATCAGGCCATTGGTCAAAATAAATCAAGCATCACCTAATGCAGGAGAGAAACAAAAATAGTTATATTCCTCATGAACTAACAGTGGAGCTTTAGCTACCTAAGAATGACACCATTATTTTTATTACGTAAGCATGGCCTAGTAAGGGATATTAATAAACATAATCAGAAATATGAAAACTAAGACTATGTAAACATGAAACGTTTAAGAGGATCATGAGAGTATTTAATATTCAACTTACTTGAGTTTTAAATAGAACCGTACTCTTAAAAGCTAGACATACTGTTGAACATATTCCTGGTACTTAATAAGTACCTCCTGAGTAATTTTTGAATCATTATTTTTTTAAAGATTTTATTTTATTTTTTTAAGAGAGAGAGGGGAAGGGAGAAAGAGAGGGAACATCGATCGGTTGCCTCCCCAAAAACTCCCCTCTCCCTGACTGTGGAATGAACCCGCAACCCAGGCATGTGCCCTGACAGAAAACTGAACCAGCGACCTTTTGCTTTGCAGGATGACACCCCATCCAACTGAGCCATATGATCAGGGCTGAATAATAACTGATATATGAAACTGTAGACTATCATCAAGGAAATAAAAATTAAAATCATGAGATACAACTTCTTACCAACTAGAACAGCTAATGTCAAACAGACAACCAATATCAAATGCTGGTGAAGATATGGGAACAACTACAACTCTCATACAATGCTAGTGGGAATATATCCACCTTAAAATAGGATCTGGATTTTTATCTACCCTAATTACCCAATTCGATTCCTAATTATTCACCCAAGAGACATAAAAGTGTGCCTTCACAAGAAAAGATTTGTTCAAGAATGTTCTAAGTAGGGATATATGCATAACCTACAGACACAGATAACAAACAATGTGGTGATGGCTTGAGAGAAGGGGGGAGTGAAGGCAGGGTGGAAAAGGGCAAAGGGGGAAAAAATAGGATATCTGTAACAGTGTAAACAATAAAGTTAAAAAAAGACCATTTTAAGTAGCTTTATTTATAGTAGCAGAAAAACAGCAAATAATCCAAAAGTCCAATTGGAAAATGGATAAACAAAACTGTGGTAAGGTCACACAATAAATTACTATGTGGCAATAAAGACAAATGAATTAATGGCACACTCAACAATATGGACAGATCTCAAAACAATATGATGAGCAAAAGAAACCCAACACAAGAATAAATATTTGCATGATTCCATTTAAATTAAATTCAAGATCTGACAGAATTATGTTATTAGAAATAAAACAGTGGTTTGCATGCACAGAACTAGGGAGTGACTGGAAGGGCATGCAAGAACTGGGGTGATAGAATTGATTTATTATCTTCAATGATGAGTGGATTACACAAATGTTTATAGTTATCAAATCTCATTGAAATAGATATTTGCCTCAAATTAAAAAAAAAACAACTAGCTTTTAAACTCTCAGGCTACAGGTCAAATCTCAACAACATAAAGAGTTAACTGCTTTCAAAAGGACCCCTTTTCAATAATCTCAGAAGAAACTTACTAATTTTAAGTGATTCAAATGCATCAGTAGCATTTAATTACCCCAAATATTGAGATACAGGTGCCTGGATTACAGGGATCTAAAAACAGTTGTATGAGGCAATACTAACTAATTTCTCCAACAATTATGATTTAAATAATTTCCTTGAATACATATGATTTATATACATATATATACACATATATACATATATATATGAGTATGATGATGATGATGTGTATAGGATACACCAGGATATATATCTTAGCACAAAGCAAATATGGTAAAAAATCAATTAAAACAAAAAAATTAGATTGTAACATTAATTTCTATGTTGAACTGAGAACACATGTGCAATTCACCCAACCCCAACAAAATGCAAAATAAGCAGGTAAAAAGCACTGTGCCAAGAGCTACTGTCAGAGATAATGAGAATGTTGATGAGAGTAGGTGACATCTTAAAAATTCTTACAATACAAGAGGCACTCTGCTAGCTACTTTGTATAAAATCATCGACTATGAGGAAGACACTACCAGTATATCCTATTTATAAATAAATGAGCTGCAACTGTGAAAATTAAGTTATTTATCCAGGATTTGATAGTACAGACTAACGTATGTTTGATCTGTAAGCCTAGATTTTAACTATTATGCTACAGAATCCTATATTAAAACTGTGGTCATTTAAATTACAGTTAATATTTTTCTGAAAGGTTTAAATTGAGACTTACAAATATTAAACTACAAGTTAGGATAAGTAATAACAAACTATTTTCAAAATCCCTCCTAAATACTGGGTTGGCCAAAAAGTCCATTTAGTTTTTTTCCGTAAAATAAAAGACTCACTTTTTATTTTCACCAACAACTTTATGGATTTGGATATTTTGGTTAATAGGTATCACCTGCTATTAGCTTCTAGTGGATAGAGGTCAGGGGTGCTGTTAAACATCTCCCAATTGCGTAAGACAGCCCCAGAGCAAAGCATTATTTGGCCAAAATGCCAATAGTACCAAGAAACTTCGCAAACCACTTTTGATATGTTTGTCAGTCACAGCACGATCTCCATACACTGCACAAATCTTTTTTTGGCGTTCAGTTGTGTTTTTACCTTTCCTGAAATAATAAAGCATAATATGCCAAAAATGCTACATGTCTTCTTCCATCTTCAATATTAAAAAGGCTGCACAAAGTTCACCAATTTTGATAATTTTTCAAAATGCACACTGATATGACAGCTGTCATAATACAATTTAACAAAATTGTTTCAAATGAAGTTAAAGACAACTAAGCTCTACTAAAGCCATTGTACAAAATAAAAAAACTAAAACTTTTTGGCCAACCCAATTTATCTTCCAAAGTCTTTAAAAGTCAAACCCACATTATGAAGAGTAAAGGAAATGTGATGCTTCACATCTTAAAAAGAGCAACTTGTAACAATAATAATTTCAAATTTCCACTCTTCTGTATTAACAACCATCAACTTCCCTGAAGTATAAAATAGCTTTGTTTTATTTCGCTTTTGAAATTTCTGAATCACTCAGAGGTCATCAATGAAGAGGGAAGGAGGGTCAGGAGGCTGGTCAACCTTACCCAATTACAATGCCATGGATAAAATACAGACACATGACAAAAGATAGGTGAAGGGGACATGGCAAGTAGGGTAATGAGGAATATAGAACTGCCTAATCAGTTTATACTACATACTGTTCTAACAAGGACTCTTACATTTAATCCACAATAACGTGCTTAATCTTAATGGGGTCAATTTAACTCAAATGTAGAGTGTTTTATTTACATATAGGCCATAACTAGACCTGTTGTGTACTTTTGGCCCAGAGATCAAAGGGATGAATCAACACAAGTGAGTACCGAGAAATACAACAGAACTCCTTATTTAAAAGATGTTCTAGAACAATTTAAAATAAGGTAAAAGTCTATTAAAGGAGAGAAGTGATACAAATGTCACAAGGACAGTTTATGCCAGGTACTTTCTTTCTTAATACTCATTTAAAAAAAAGGCCACTGGAGATGGGGGGCGTTGGATTTAAGGGGACTAAACTGGTAATGGGAAAAAAAAAAAATAGTGAATTTTAAAAAAATAAAAAAGCCTTAATGATTTTTTTAAAAGCCAGAAAAAAAAAATACGCAGGTTTGAAGTTTCCTTCCTAGATTTTCTTTTTTGAGGATGATGATGATAAAAACAATGTAAAAGCTAACAGAGTCCTTAATGCCATGCTTTAGATGTTAACTCATTTAATTGCCCCAACAACTTTATGAGGTAGGAACTATAAATTCTCCATTTTAAATGATAAAACTGAAGCATAGAGAGTAACTTTGCCAAATCACAAGGCAAACTAGTGGTATAGCTAGGAGATGAACAAAGCCTGCTCTCTTCTTCCAATGTCATGTTTTGAGGTTTACCCCTTTTTAATACTCCTGAGTCAAACAGCCAAAGCTAAAGACTTAAAACAGGAAATAGAAGTCCTGTATAAAATAATTCTCTACCTTCAAGTGGGGCAAAGGAAACATCCTTTTAAAACTCAAGCAAACTGGGTGTTTGTCCTGTAGCCTGTCAGAGGAAACAAGTTTAAAAAAAAATCTCTATCAACAGTAGAGTGCCCATTTTGTTTTAACATATTATTCTCTAAGTTCAGTTCTTTTTTTTGACAATGATGACGACAGGAAAAGATAGATTAAAAGGAATAAACTAAAGGCATGGCATAGCAGTGGCTAGCTTCACCAACAGGAGGTGAGTAAATCACTCCATATGGTCATAATGTTAGAACAATCATCAGCAACACATCAAAATGTTAAACTATGTCAAGAGAAATTTATACTGATCTCCTCAACAGCATGGGCTGCATATTATTCATGTTGTGCCTTCACACCAAGCAAAACACAGCACACAGTGAATCGATACTGTAACAATATACTTACCTGTGAAAGGTCTGGAATATCACCTCTGTCAATTCCAACTTGCTGTAAGAAGAAGTAGTATTTTATTTAATAAATACAATTTTTAAAAGATTTTTTATAAATAAAAATTAGAATGTGACAATTATGACTGTGAATATTTTAGACTGACTTCTTTAAAATCAAAAATACTTAATCTCCAAATATATCACTCAGTATTTCCAAGGGCTTAGATGTCATTTGATGGCTATAAAAGTTGTAACAGGAGGGGAACTGGAGTTGGAAATTCATCTAAGACTATGAAGTTACCATCTCCAAATCTTCTAAGCACCTACACCTTGTCACAATCTGAAAAACACTACAGCAAGAATGAGAAAGGCTGACCACAAACAAGTTCCCTGAGGCATAAAAAAGAGGTTAAAGAACAAACCTAATGACAATGACTTTGCCTTTCTCTGTAAAATATGCTTTCCTAGGCAATTGCCATAGATAACAATTTTTAAAACCTATGTGTTCACTCGAGTAGGTCAGGTTTTATACAAATGCCAAGTGACATCTAACCAGGATATATCTGTTTCCACAAAGCAATCCCAAACACACTTTCATGATGTTCAGGCACTAGACAATTTCCAGCAAAAAATGATGAAAACCTTTCCTACTTACTATACTAGTACCCAAATTGAGAAATTGAACCCCCTTACACCTTGTGGCTATGTTTCATTTTCTAATAATTTTCTTTTCCTTTTCTCAACTTCTCTAAGGCCAGTCCCAGAATGACATCAGTAGAAAATTTGATTAAACAATTCAAACTGAGATCTTAATAGCTAATCAGTAACTGATACATTTGTCCCCTTCAGAGACATCTGAAAAGGTTACACAGGCCTTTACTCCAAGAACTAAGATCTCATAATGAAATTACAATCCCAAAGACAGCCTCATGAAAAAAAACATTTTAGGGAAGAAGAGTATTCTCATTTCTCAGATCATATGGAATAAGTGGTCTATTCCATTTCAAACTAAGACCAGTGGACCTGGAGGTAAATAAAGACTTAAACTTAAGTCAACAACTTTATCAAAAGCAAAGGACATTAGAGGCCACAGGGAAAAGTCAACAAATTAAAACTAATATAAAGAATGTACTAAATCATAGCATAAACCTTTATCTTCTGCTTTTAATATGTGACTGACCCTGCAGAAATGGGGGAAAATAATTTCTTCTTGAAATTTTAAATTCAAAATAAATTGCAGTAGAGACTATAAAATTGCTGATTAACAACACAAAGCTATTTTCTTCAAAGGTCTCATATTAACTATGAAACTAAAGCTAAAATCACCAACTTGCTAGTTCCAGAGTAACTACATTGATACAACTGATCAATTATAACCTAGTCATCTTCCAGAATTATCCTAGCAAGAAATCTCTGGTTATAACAGGTAGAGGGTAGAGAAAGAGAAAAGAAACAAAAATACTTTAAGAGCTGCCTCTGTACAAGGAAGACGATGCCTGCATGCATTACCACAACTGCTTTCTGTGACAATTTCAGAAAGTTATTTCTTAAACAGATTTGCAAAATTAAATTACCCTATAACATACTTTCGTAGTTTTTATAATCACTGATAAACAATAAATATACTAAATTCGTTTCTGCAGGGGAACAAAACATTTTGAACAATGTAGCTCCAGCTGTAATTCTCACTGGAGAAAAGAGGTTTTTGCACTAAAATTAGATGAGAACAGCCTTTGATTATGCACAATATAAAATACACGAATAATTCCAAACATAAAAATTGCAGCCACCACTGTGTGTCACCTACGTGATATGGCTAAACAATTAAAAAATAGATTACCTTTCAACAGTCAATACTGAATTAAATATACAGGATATACACCTTAACAAAGAATATAGCCTATAACTGAATACATACCATACTATATTTTAAATGTTTCTTTCGTTTAGATAATGATTGATGTATTTAAAAACCACACTTACAGACAAAAAAACAAGTTAAGAAACGTAAAGACAGCTTACCTCTGCAACTTTGAGAAACTCTGAGATTCTTGTCATCCTAGTCAGGAACTTCTTATAGATGTCAAGACCTTCTTTGCACTGGTTCTTTTTCATATCAAAATATTTTTCTGCCAAAAGTAGATGTAAAAAAAACACTTTTACTCACATCAAAATGTAACATTCCAAGAGAAAAACAGTAGTAATAGTTCTAAAGAGATCATACAGGTATCAAGAATACACTTACACTACAGAAAAAATAGCATCAAATTAGCTTAGATATTTAAAGCAAATTAGAAGGATACTACTATAATAGAAACAGGAAAATTACTTGACTCTACTCACATTACCAGTTTGTTCTGCAATATTTCTTCCTTAGCAATTCCTTAAATATGTATTTGCACATTAACAGATATTACCCTTCACTCCATTTAAAACAGTACCAATTCCTATTTCCAAACATTCTTACTGATGATATATTAACGAATATGGCTACTTCATATCCAAATGTCACTTGAAATCCTCACTTATACTTAAAATATAAACAGCTGTAAGGAGCCTAATTTATAGTAATCACAGAATGGAGGACTATGCAAGCCTTCCAAAGTTTTGAAGAAAATTCTATTTTTCACTTGTGAAAAAACAAGCCCAATTTTTTTATTTCCATGGATTAAATCATTCCTGATTAAGCTAATGTTACCCTGGCCTACAAAACACAAATTTAAATAAATTCTAAAAAAAATTAAAAGGAGTGGGGGGAGAACAAGCACACTGGAGTAAAACACATTTGATATCTGATATTTGTGCCTTGGCTCTATTTGAAAACCATTACTTGTCTACTCTATCCAAATACCACTGTGGGGGGGTAAAAAAACATTTCTAGGCAACATTAATTGCATTCCACATACAGTTAAACCTTGAAGAACACAGGGGTTATCAATTCCCATGCAGTTGAAAACATGTGTATAAATTTTGAATCCCCAAAAACTTACCTACTAAATAACCTACCGTTAACCATAAGCCTTAGGGATAACAGTCAATTAACACCTATTTTGTATGTTACATGTTATTATATACTGTATTGCAATAAAATAAGCTAGAAAAAAATGTTAAATCATAAAAAATATTTACTGTATTTGTTGGAAAAAAGTACATTTAAATAGTTTTGTCTGTTCAAGGATCAACTGTATATTGAATACACAATAAAGCACCATACAGTCCTAAAATGCCTCAAAAACACCTCAACCTTAAAAATAAATATTTAATGCATTTAAAATAAGTATCAATATTTAAATTAAGATTAGAAAAAATATCAATTTTACAGCTAAAGTTCGTTACTGAGTAAATTATGAGGAAGTAAGATTTTTCCTGAACAGAAAAATTGCAACTTAATTTTAAAGGGTTTTTTATTTTTCTAAAAATTATTAAACTCACAGAAGAAAACACAGATGTATAAAAATATAAAGTTCATTCAGCTAAATATTCTAGTTGTAAAAGTATTTAATCACTTAGCATATGTAACAGGTATACATTTTTTCCTTCCAAATAAACTGTTACAATAAAATTTTAGGCAAGTTTAAGTAAGAACTCAGACAATATTATTTACCCATATAACACAAGATAAGAAATAAAATGTCATTAAGCTACAATAATATTTACCCAACAGGTTAATAATTCCTTCATTGTATGCTGCAAACAGTCTAATAGCATCTTTGAACAAGAGCATGAAGGCAGCATTTATTACCCCATTTGTAAGTTCGTTACTATTAACCTGGGGAAAAATTAGAAAAAAAAGTTAGCTAATCTTATGTTTTAAACAACATCCTTCAAATTAAAAAGTTAATTCATGTATTTAGGTATATTAAAGAAAAGACATTTATATCTTGCAATCAGAGCTACAGCCAAAGAGTGCAAAAATCTTAAACAGTTCAGATTTATGTAGAAGACAAAAGCAAACAAACATCCTACAATATTCAATTTAGTTTTGAAGTAGTTGAAAACAAAAATACCCTTTAACTCTTGAAATTCCGAGACTATATCTCAAAAGTCTTTTTATTATAAGTTCATTTCAACATGAAATACTTCTAAATGCAAAATAAAGAACATATCTAGGTGGGCATTCACTCTGAGTCATGAAGGATTTACTGAATATTTTTAAATTAGGAAGTATTTATTCAAGGCACTTTGCTGAACTTGGTAGAAGACATATTTAGAAATATATATACCTTTTCTCAATATTACAAACAAACTGACCTTCAAAATGATTATAATAATATTACTGCTTCATTTGATTACTGGGAAAATTAAATGATATACTTGGTGTCAAGAGCCCAGTGCAATAACTTACACATGAATGATCAATATTTATTATTATTGAATTATGCTGTATTTATAAAAAATACTAGGAATAATTTTATTATCTCAAGGAATGAATCAAAAGGATTAAGTCTAACATTTAAGTTCTTTCTTAGATAACAAGAATACCTAGTACGCGAAAATTAACTTGGTAGGTATATAAAAGCATAAGCACAAACTTAAATAGTAAGCAAGAAATTGGTAAATATTTGCAGGATATCTAAAAAGGCTAATTTTATTATAGAGAGATCTCAATAATAAAGCAAATGACCATGCACAAAGTAAAAAATATATATGACTAATAAGTGAAAAG